GAGGTTGCTGTGAGCTGTAATGCCACGGCACTCTGCCCAGGGGGACAGCTTGAGGCTCTGTCTCAAAAAAAAAAAAAGACTCTGTCTCAAAAAAAAATAAAAAAGCGATGGCCAAAACAATTATAATGTGATTATATTTTATAATTTTTCTATAGGTAAAAAAAAATGTATGTTTGTAATATAAAAAAACACAATGAAGTTTTTCTCTGCCTACTCAATCATTTTGGATTCCAGTAAGCCATCAGAAATTTCATCACTGGCTCGGCACCTGTAGCTCAGTGGCTAGGTTACTAGCCATATACACTGGAGCTGGTGGGTTCAAACCCAACCCAGGCCTGCCAAATAACTACAACAAAAACAAAAACAAAACTCTGGGTGTTGTAGCCTGTAGTCCCAGCTACTTGGGAGGCTAAGGCAAAAGAATTGCTTAAGCCCAAGAGTTGGAGGTTGCTGTGAGCTGTGACACTACAGCACTCTACCAAGGGGAACATAATGAGACTGTCTCCAAAAAAAAAAAAAAATAATTTCAGCATTAAAATGTCACTGTGGTACCTCATAAAACTGACGGTGTTACACCAGCCATGATCTGAACCATGGCACTGGGTAGCTTGTAGATCAGGGGTCCTCAAACTTTTTAAATGGGGAGCCAGTTCACTGTCCCTCAGACCGTTGGAGGGCCAGACTGCGGGCCCCAGGACAAGTCGGCTGCTAAGCAGGACAGGCAGCAGTGGCAAAAACACCCAGGGGGCTGGATAAATGTCCTCGGTGGGCCGCATGTGGCCCGCAGGCTGTAGTTTGAGGATGCCTGTTGTAGAGTAACTGCAAAGGCAACTTCCAAAAGCACAATTGCACTGTTAGGCCAGGCTTTGAAAAGCCTCTGATGATCCCTGGGGGGGCCTACTATAGGCTACAGGCTCCCAACAGGGCCCACATTGTTAAGTCCTGGGAAACCTGACCAGCCTGGCCTGAAATTATGTCTGAAGCCTCCGTCAAAGGCCTTCTGTGAGGTGGCCTTGGTCCCCTGTGGTTTACATCAGGGCTCAGAGGGCCACTTCTTCACTTGGTGCCATAGTCTCTGGCTCACCCAGCTTGTCATGCAAGAACCCACCAAGTAATGCCACAACAACAAAATACTGTCACTGGCTCCTAAACTACCAGCTTTGCCAATGGTTAGTGCTGAGATGTCCATTGGGCTCACTTCTTGGGTGTTCTGAAGACCTCCCATTGGATGTGGGCCTGAGTGGGACCTTGGGACCCCAGGACCAGAATCCTTTTAATTTTTGATTGCTTGGTAATTCTGTGGGCCCTGACTTTGGCCAAGCTGCCCATGAGGCCCAAAAAGGGAAGCGACTTGCCCTGAGCCACACAGGAAATCAGGCTGCAAGCCTCTCCCACCACTGCTTTGCTCCCACCCAGGACACTTCAGTCCCTGCAGAGCTGTGGCCTGTCCCTCTTTCCTGCCCACCTGGGCATGGCTCTGTCCCTGCCACCTGCCCCAGCACAGTGAGGGTTACAGCTGGGGCCCTCCCAGTCTCCAGAGCCACTGTCCCCTAGCAACAGTCAAACTAGGCAGGACGCACAGCAGAACACTGGGCTCAGCATGCAAAGTGTGGGCAGACACAGGCCAGGGAAGCAAGTGAGGGGCAAGTGCCCAGGGTGGGGCTGCCCAGCAGAGCAGTTCTCCCTTGCTCTCTCCCCCAGCAGCTGCCTGTGGAGCCCCAACCCAGAATGGACAGTGTAGATGCCACTGTGGAGAATCTCCGGGGACAGTGCCTGTCCTGAGGGGCCTCAGGCATCCAGAGCCTAGCCAGGTGAGCTGACCACTTGCAGTGCCCCCCGCCACCTCAGCCCCCAAGATTATCGTCCAGCCATGTCCCTGTCCCTCAGGCTCTTCTGCCGCCTGGACCAAGACAGGAGCAGATGCCTGGATGCCAGGGAGCTCCAAAAGGGCCTGGCCCAGTTGGGACTGGTGCTGACAGAGGCAGAGGTGGAGGCTGTGTGCAGGCACTGGGACCAGGATGGCAGTGAGAGACTGGACCTGGAAGAGTTCCTGCAGGCTCTGCGGGTAAGGCCCCACTTGGTGTGTCTTCTGGGTGTGAAGCATCCAAGGATAAGACCCAGAGGGACCTACTCAAGAGCTGCTGATAGAGGCACCCACTCAGAGGTGGCAGCCCCCTCTCTGCGAGTGCTTTCTGGGAGGTAGGAGGGTGGGCTGGGGAGACCTGCCGAGCTCTGCTCCCAGTGACTGCCTCCCCACAGCCCGCTATGTCCCAGGCCCGGAAGGCAGTCATTGCAGCTGCATTTGCCAAGCTGGACTGCAGTGGGGACGGTGTGGTGACAGTGGATGACCTCCATGGGGTCTACATTGGCTGCTTCCACCCCAAGGTGCAGAGCGGGGAGTGGACCGAGGAGGAGGTGCTCCGCCACTTCCTGGACAACTTTGACTCCTCTGAGGATGGGCAGGTGGGTGGTCCCGCCTCCAGTTCCCCCTAAAATACACTGTGTCCCCAGGTCACGCTGGCAGAATTCCAGGACTACAGTGGTGTGTCTCCGTGGACACAGATGAAGTTTGTGGCCATGATGACCAGTGCTTGGCAGCTGTGAGCAGTGCCCTAGCTTAGCACCCCTCTCCCATCCTCAGTCAGGACCCTCCTCACCTGGGCTCTGAGCTGAGCAGGGCCCAGGTGAGGAAGGGGTGGGCAGGGGAATTAAGGCTGCAGACCCAGCTGAACCAGGTTCCTGCCCTGCTACCAGAGGTGGGATAAAGGCTCTCCCTGCCCACACTGTACTGACCTGAGGCCTCAGAGGCCCCTGTTAACATGACTGCCCCTACGTGACCCCTGGGTGGGGAGGCAGTGTGTGAAGGTGGCCTATTGGGAGGCAGAATGGGGACACCTGCCTAGATGTGGAGTACAAGGGGGGGCCCAGGTCCTCTGGCTTCCTGAGGCCCCTGGGGCATGTGGAAGGCCAGGGTTTTAGTTAAAAGTTTAATGTCGTTCCCAAATACATTTCATATGACAATCTTACATAAATGTTCCAAAACACATGGGCATTATCTGGTTTTACTTGTCACTAGTTGGCTAAGGCTTAAAGCACAGAAATGTGACTGATCTCTTGGGAGGCCTCTGCTATATTCCCAAATGCAGGTTTGCTGGGCTGGGCAGTGTCAGCCAACGGAGCCACTCAGGCTGCGGGCTCCAGCCAACCCAGGGTGTGGGCGGCACAGCTGCAGAACTCAGCCTTCTCTTCACCCTCCAGTGTGGGGCTGGGTGATGTCCCCTGAGGGACACCAGTTCTGAGGATGCCCTGGCATGGGGGACCTCCTCTGTAGCCTCCCCAGGCAGAAGATACCTGGCTGGCTCTTGGATACACTATAAACTGGGGTGGGCACAGGTGCCTGTTTCTATGTGCTACATGCATGGGGCAGCCTATTGTTGGAGGCCACCCCTGGCCTGGCAAAGGCCTGGCTAGGGTCCTCCTCAGATATGCCCCTGACCCCAGTCTTGGGGACAGTGATGTCTGAGGCTGGGGAGGGAATAGCAACAGCAGGAAGCAGGCTTGTGCCTGGGGGCATGATGATAGGTAAACCACAGGATGTGGATAGGGATGAGGGTGGGGAACCCTCCCCATCCAGACACCTTTTTCCAGATAGGCACTCTCCAGACCAGGCCAAAGGCTCCAACCCCAGTACTCCATGACTTAGCCTGGAGGAACCTGGGGCAAGAAACAAGTGGAGGTCCAATCCCCCAGAGCAGCCTGACCCCTCATTTCAGAGGCCAGGACCTCAGAAGGAAAAGGGGATGGGGCTGTGTCTTCTCAATGCTTGAGGGCACATTAATTGAAGAAACTAAAAACAAAGCCTTTGAAAATAAAAAGAAAAAAAAAGGATCTGTAAAATATAAACCTCAAATCAGAATATGAGAAATGGGAAATAAAGAGAGTAGATAACTGTCCACAAGGCCCAGTGTACACTTCCATGAGCCCCCAGGGCCAGGCTACTGGGAGGAGGGAGCTCGGCAGGTGGGTGGGGGTGGGGAAGGAACCCCAGGCACAGTAGAGGGCCAGCTGCTCCCCACAGGGCAAGACCCCACAGCAGGGCAAGGCGGTATGGGTAGTGGAGAGGCCAGAGGCTCTGGCTGGACACAAAAGGTCGCAACATGAGGGGTGAAGTAAGGAGGTCTCCAGTCCCAGTAAGAAGCCGTGACAAGCCTTAATGTGCCATTTCAATTCAAAGGAGGGGAGGGAAGAAATGTTCTTTTTTGTTTTGCTCATCAATATGATGAGGTCTCATGTCCCAAACCACATTCAGGCAGTTTCCAAGTCTGCTTTGAATAGGATGTGCAGCTCCAGACTGTGGCCCACCCAGTGGGGTTTGGCACCCAGCCCCCCTCCACGCTGCCTGCGGGGAGGAGGTGGGTGGGCAGACAGACGGACAAAGCAGCAGCCTGGCGTGCAGCTAGCCCAGCCGCTATGTGCTCCCAGCCGTCTGCCCGTCTCCTTCGTCGCCAGCACCTGCAGGGAAGCAGTAGTCCCTTACACTTGGGCCTGGCCCACCCTGGAAAGAGCCTGGACTTCTCCGGTCAAGCCAACCCTGCCCAGAGGTCACTGGGGACCTGTATACCAGCCCACTTGAGCTCCCCAAAGTAGGGACTGCCTGGCTTACCAGCTCCACTAGCCCCTGAGGGAGCCAGGACATCATCATCATCGCTGTCGTCCTCCTCATTGGACGGGGCTACCCCAGGCTCAGGGGCAGGCATCTTGGCCTCCTGTTCCTGCTCTGCACGGCTGCGCAAGGCCAGGATGCGGTGGTGCAGGGCCGCATACAGCTGGCCTGTGTCCTTGGAGCTCGCCTGGGGGGATACAGGGGATGTAAGGCCCTCGGGACTCTAGTCCTCTACCCACTTGCCTGTGACAGGATTGGAAATGCCAGGTCCTGAGGGGCTGGGAGGGTCAGGTAGACCAGTGCTGGCCTGTGGTCCAGAGGTCACAACTGGTAGATATGTGTTCATCTGTCCACAGGACACAGGACACAGGACACAGGACAGAGGTGACTTTCCCATGGGGGTGTTCACCCTGAACACCTGACCCCATCTCAGCCAAGTCCTAACAGTTTCTTTGGGCTGGGAAAAGGAACATGACCACAATGGATCAGTGCTTCCAGAGGCTGTCCCACAGAGGGTCCATAACAAGTGGGAGGAATCCAACCCTGTGTCTTAAGCAGTGACTATTGCCTACTCCCCTCATCCCTGCCCTGCCCAACAGAGGACTGAAGCACCCCAGCCCCAAGGCTGGTACTGGGCTTGGGCTCTGAACCTTCCCCAGCACTGCCCTCCCCCCACCAGCTTCCCCCAGGAGCTCAGAGCCTGCATGTATGCTGCTGCCACCAGCACATAGCCCTGGGGGACTTGTTAGGAGATACCACTACTGCCTCTTCTTGCTATGGGGAAAAGCCCTCCCTGCTCACTCACTCACCTCCCCAGGGAACCCACCTTCCATGTCTACACCCAAACTAGCACCCCTTAGCACCACCTATGGTGCCCAGTGGGCCGAGAAGCCTCAGTGTGGCTGGTAGGACGAGGTATGTGGCCACTCCCTTCCTGGGCATCTCAAAGGAGCGCTACCATCCTCTAGGAGCTGTGCTGGCCACTCCCCTTCCCCAGAGGCTGGTGGCTGTGAGGGGCATCTGGGGTGGCTCACCGAGATGAGGAAGACCTTCACACCCTGGTCCTCAGTGTCCATGGCTGTGATGCGGATGCCCTTCTCACTGGCCTTGTCGATCTGCATCTGAGCCCATAGCTTAGTGTTGAGGATGAGCCGCAGGCTCCCCTGGGTTCGCATCACTGCAACCAATAAGGCACTGAGCTCCAGCCTCTGTCCCTCCCACCCCCAAATGGCAGCTCCCAGAACAGACACTTTAAAGAAAACTGAATATCACAGGGCAAAAGCCCATGACTCTGAAGACCCCCAGCTCCAGCACCACCTTGCTTCCCCAGCATGAAGGTTATGGTAGGGCAGTGGCCTCACAGGCTGGCAATGCAGACCAGAGGCCATATACAGGTCATGGAGGGTTTTATTCGGTCCACACAGGCAAGCACTAGAATAGGAGTACCCTTGGGGAAAGGGTTAGATAAAAGCAAGAAGAGGGCCACTAGATGAGGCAGGGGGCAGGAGGGGGGGTGCTGCATACTTGTGATGTGTGTGTTCTGCATGTGACATTTGCCATGACAGGAAGTGATGCCCTCTTGACTGTCTCCACATCTGCTGGGTCAAGCTCCCTGTGCTTTCATTAGAAGGTGGACTAAGGCTATAACTCAGAGCTCCTACCGAGAGGGACCTGGGAAGACCAAGGGCAGCAGATGGTGGAGGGAAATAGGACAGCCTTATTTCTCTGGCAAGTGTGATGCCCACCTACTCTCCTGTTGGCTACCTCTGCCCACTGGAACAGGCCTGGAGAAGATTAGAAGCTCCTCATACTGCTGGAGTCCAGCAACGGGATCTCCCCAGACGTAAGTGCCCACTTCAGAAGCAGAAAGACAAGGGACCTGGGACTGCTCTCAGGGTGAGGAGGCCACAGCCTGATGACCCAGGCAGAGGGGATGACCTGTGCACTCAGGCACTACATATTTTTTGTTCACACACATTTGAAAGTTTCCACAAGAAAAAGCAAAGTCAGAGGATGTCCCTGGGGAAGACGAGAGCAGTCCTGGCCTAGAGGGACCCTCCTTATCTCTGTTCCAATCTGGGGAGTTTCTGAGTCAAGGTATGTGAAAACTTTGCTTCAAAGGGGCTACTTGAGCTACTGCTGGGCTCAAAATCCACATTCTACAAAGACCAAAAGACAGTCTGGTGAAAATAAAACAAAAAGATGGACATGCACATCATTCAAATGTACATGCGTATGCACACACTCATTTTGTGACAAGTATATTTCTGGGAATAATAATTATATATAAGGACAGCCCTAGTAGCATTATCTATGACATCAGGAACAGGTTAAATATCTATCAATAGGGAAAAGTCCATTAACTATCAACAGAACAACCATGTAAGTTTTTTAAAAACAATCATTATTTTAAAGGGAAAATAGTGACCTGGGAAGATGCTCGTAAAACAGCAAGTGAAAAGAGCAGGATAAAAAACTGCCCTATTTTGGCCGGGCATGGTGGCTCATGCTTATAATCCTAACACTCTGGGAGGCTGAGGCAGGAGGAGCCCTTCAGCTCAGGAATTTTGAGACCAACTTGAGCAAGAGTAAGACCCCGTCTCTACTAAAAATAGAAAAACTAGCCAGCTGTTGTGGTGGGTGTCTGTAGTCCCAGCTACTAGGGAGGCTGAGGCAGGAGGATCATTTGAGCCCAGGAGTTTAAGGTTGCTGTGGGATAGGCTGACACCAGGGCTCTGTATCTGGGTGACAGAGTGAGACTCTGTCACAAAAGAAAACAAACAAAAGAAAAACAAAAAACCCAACAACCAAAAACAAAACCACCACAACCAAAAAACCAAACCTAAACAACCAAAAAAAACCCTTTTTCCTTAAAAAAAGGACCACAAATGAGGAATGGTCCACCAAAACATAATCAGTCGAGGTTTCTCTTTATAAAGAAATCATAGTTGATCTTTGATTTCTTCTTTTTCCATAAAACTCCCATTTTACTGTCAGAAAAAGTTTAAAAATTGCTAAAGACTTTTACGTACTTTGACACTGAGTCAGGGAGGGGCAATAGCTCCAGACCCCGTGCTGAAGGCTGTGTGTGTGGCTTTCCTGTGGGGATGGCTTCCGTGCTCCTCTACTCTGACAAGCACCAGGTCGAGATATCCCCCTTCACCCTTTTGGCATTTGCAGTTTTGACCGCACTATCCCCAGCCCTCTCCACGGGGCCCCACCACAGACCCTTCCAGGACCCCTCAGCAGCTCACCCAGTCGGGACTGTAATGTCCCATCGTCGGTTGATGCCATGTCGTTGAGCCTGAGCAGCCCCCGTCCTCTCTCCACCCATGACTGTGAGGTCTTGTCAAAGACAAACAGCTTACACTGGATCTGGAACACACACGGTGGCCCTTAGTGAGTAGGGAGGCTGGCTGGATGTTCTGCTGAGGATGGACCCCGAAGAGTAGTGTCCTTCTAACCTACACATTTAATCTGCATGGACTTTCAGGGTCAGCAGACTCTGGCTTGGGGGACACATCTGGCCCTAGGCCAGTTGTCTATTCTGCCATCAAGCTTGAAAGGTTTTATATTTTAAAAGGGGTCTTTAAAAAAAAAGAACCCAATCAATAAAGAAATACACATCAGAACCACAGTGAGAAGTCACTTCACATCTGCTAGTGTGGCTATAACCATGTGGAGAAACAGAGACCCTATTCACTGCTGGTGGGGACAGAAAATGGTGCAGCCGCTGTGGAAGACAGTCTGGCAGTGCCTCAAAGAGTTAAACAGAGCTACCACATGGCCCAGCAATTCTACTCCAAGGGATCTACCCAAGAGAAAGGGAACATGTGTTCACACAAAAACCTGTACACAAATGTTCATAGCAGCATGATTCACAATAGCCAAAAAGTAGAAATAAACCAAGTATCAACTGATGAATGGGTAAAAAAATGTGCTCCATCCTTATAATGAAACATGGTTGGTTCTAAGACAGAAGGAGGCTCTGACATAAGCTACAAAATGTAGCCTTGAAAACATTATGCTGAGTGAGAGAAGACAGACACACAGTGCCATTCATACGAAATGTCCTGAACAGGCAGATCCACAGAGACAGGAAGTCAGTCAGCGGTTGTCAGGGGCTGGGGGAGTGAGTGGGGAGAGACTGCTGACAGGAATAGGGTTTTTTGTGGGGAACAAAGACGTTCCATACTAGATTGTAGTAATGGCTGTACAATTCTATGAATATACTTAAAGTCCACTGAACTGCATGATTTAAAATTACATAGTAGGTGCAGTATATCTCAGTAAGGCTGTTTTGTTTATTTATTTTGAGATAGAGTCTCACTCTGTCACCCTGGGTAGAGTGCCATGGCGTCATAGCTTACAGCAACCTCAAACTTTCTGAGGTTGAGCAATCCTCCTGCCTCAGCTTCCCAAGTAGTATGCTACTACTACATCACTATGCCCAGATAGTTTTTCTATTTTCAGTAGAGACAAGGTCTTGCTCTTGCTCAGGCTGGTCTCGAACTCCTGAGCTCTGGCTATCCAATGTCTCAGCTTCCTGGAGTGCTAGAATTACAGGCATGAGCCTGTGCCTGTAATAAAGCACGGGGCCTGCTGGGTCAATAAAGCTATTTTATATATGTTAAGAAAATAACAATACGTGACAAAGACCATGTGTAGTCCTTCACAGAGAAGTGCAGTTCTCTCTATGCCAATCTCTCTCAACATGACTACATTAAAAAACAGTAAGTGGGGGGAAAAAAGCAGTACCATTAAAAATTCCACAGTTCTCTACATGGCTTATAGACATAGACACATCTGTATGTGTCCAGCAAAAGGAAGCAGATGGACACTGCCCCCCAAACCCAGCCAGCTTGGGAGGTGTGGCCTCAGGAGGAAGAGGGTGGTGGGAGACAGAGATGGGAAGGGTGGGTTTGAAATTCTAGCTGCATCTGATTTTCTTCCCTACTGAGACAAAATGATTACTTATTAATTCTGGGTGACAACAGGAAGGTGTTTGTTCCCACAGTCTTTGTCATTTCCCGAACCATCAAGAATATCTCAAAACAGATCCTCCTGCTCTAAAACCAAAACAACACCAGAAGCCCCCTGTCTCAGGCTTAGCTCTCCATGAGAGCCCCCCAGTGAGGCTACAGGGTGTAGGCCAGAGGCCCACAAAGGGGAGGCCCAGGTGCTAAGGCTGCAGATCCAACCCTTGGGGGCAGGACCCCCAAGAACACAAAGGACCTTGAAGACTCAGGCCTTTGGCTCCCTCACCTGTAACACGTTGCTCTCCGCCTCCTCCCCAGTGATGACTTCCACTTTTTCCAGCAAACACTTCCGTGCTGTGGCCTTGGTGTAGGCAGCTGCTGACTCGGCCAGGGACTCTGAAATGTTATTAGCTAAACAAGCCTGACTATTCGGTAAGGTGAGAGTGTGTAGCTTGCAGAAAACTGAGAGGGTGGTTCTGGCCTCAAGGACACTGACTACTCCAGGAGAGCCAGACATGGTGGCCAGAGTGGACTTTGGACACAGGCCAAGATGTTTAGCCTCAGGATGTGCAGGGAGACTACTTGGGAGCTGCCAAGTGTGGTTCCAGACCCTGACTTTCCCATTCAGCACAAGACAGGACAGGGAGATTCTCCTGTGCCTGCTGCTTCAAAGTATAAAAGGTGTGATGGCACCTCAACAACATGGGCCCGCGTGTTCTTTAACACAGATGCCTGTCTCTCTGCTCACTGCAGTGCAGAGCCCCGAAGGCCATAGCCACTGCATATGGATCATTCAGTAGCTGGTTTACACATCGTCCTTACTGCAGGGAAAAGTTGGTCCCCTCCTCCCTCCCAGGCAGGGTGTGAATGAACAGTGTCCTCTGGTCACCCATTACTCCTTGGGCCACGGGGAAACAAGACTGTAACACACCTTTCTCAGGAGTGGCCTCCTGGGAAGAAGACTCGGACCCAGACTCGGCAACCACGTTTTCTCTGTTGGCATCTGAACTGATCTCATTCAATTTGGGGGGGCTCTGAAGGAAAACAAAGAAACACGGGGGAAGCGGTCATGGGGGACACATGGCTGCTGAATGGATAGCCTCTAAGTGGGGACAGAAGCTCTGGGCACACCTCTGCCTAGCCCCTGATGCCATGTGCTCCCTGGCCACCCCTGCCCACTTCATGTAAACACTCCCAAACTGCCCTGAAGCTCCTACACATGGTCTCTCAGGCATTGCCATGGGGTTAGTATCCTCAGTCACCTTCATCCAAATGGCTATGGGAGATAAGGCTTTGAATATTTTGAATACTGAATATAATAGAAAAAGGGTAGTACTGAAACTAGAGAAAGCAGGAGGTGCCTCATTAAGTACAAAGTGAGATAAAGATGGAAGGGGGGCCCACATAACCACAACCAAAGAAAAAGAAACAAATAGAAGGAAGCAGGCAAACCATTCCAGAACCCTCTCCTAGGCTGGCTGGGCTCTCTGGGAATGGAGATAGCTCTTTTGTGCTCCAAAGCCTTGGCTGTGGTGTGTGATCAGGGAAGCAGGGAGGCCACAGCCCTGTATGCTGTCACAGCTGGCCTGTGTAGGGAGAGAACACCGAGGACCTGTCCTCTGTTGGGCTGCAGTCTCACAGTCTGGATAGGGCTGGCCTTTCCTGGCTTGAGAGAGTTAAGGGTGGCCCAGCAGCAGATGACTAAAGACTTCTGTCTGATGCCTACAATCCCAGTTGGCCTGGCAGGGAGGAACTGTGGCCCCCGAATGCCAGCACAGCGCTATGGCCTCAAGGGAAGCAAACCCATCTTGGGATGAAGCTGGCTCCTGGCCTTGGCCCCACCTTCCAGCGGAGTCTGAGCCAGATCTTTTTTCTCTTAGTTACAGCTGAGTGTGTCCCAACTTTACAGGAGACAATGCAGTAGCCACACTACCCCTGACCACTCGACATGAAACTTCTGGTATCCAACAGCAGTCCCAACATGGCCACTCACCAAAACTCGCTCACTCATGTTCTGGCCAAATACGAATTTGTTGCTGGAAGCATCGGCACTATTGGTCGAGTTCTCTAAACTGAAGAGAAGATGTGTAGTGAGTGTGGAGACATCAGGTAGGTATGGCTGGGCAAATGAACATAGATGCAGGCACATGGGTGCAAAGGGGCCTCCCGGCTATGTGTGCCAGAGACAGGGTCCACATGTGTCTGCGCCTCACTGTGCCATATGAAAACATGGATCTGTAGCTTATCTTGATGAACGGTCCCAAAAGAACTAGGGAAGCCCATGTTCTACCCACCTAGGCCTGTCTCCTGGGCAGGACACATTTTCTCCTCAAACACCCAGAGGGGCAGCTGGGCTGTGTGTAAGCCCCACCACAGGAAGTGCTGATCAAGGGCAAGGCGGGGTCTATCCCATGTGATCAAGCTGAAGGTAAAGGGGCACCAGGGGTTTTGAAACCTTGCAGCTGATGCAAAGCAACTGAGCCACCAGTGGCCCATCCAAGTGTGCTCTGAGCAGGAGGTCTGTATGACAAAGGTTACCTCAAGGGCCAGGCTGTGTCTTTCACATGCCCCTGGATAACCCCACAGAGCTCTGGTCCAGCCTCAAGTATCTGTCCAATCCCAGGACAAAGCCCACCATCCTGGCCTGTCCACAGCTGTACCCAGAGGGTTACCTGGATCCTGAAGGCATCAGCTTCCCCTGGAGCTGTCTGGCTTTTGGTCCAGGTGCCAAGGCTCCTGGGCTTGAGAATCGTGGGCCCCTCTGTGGCTGGGGACTTCCCCAAACACTTGCACCACCATGCTAAGGCTGGCCACTAGGCCTGAGACATATACCTGGAGCTGATATACTGAAGGAAATAGTTTGTTGCAGTTGGCATTTCTGAACTGGGGTGTCCAGCGTTTTCCATGTCAGCTTCATCAGTGTTCTCATTCATTAGCTGGAGAATGGAGAAGACATTTGCTACTAAGAGAATGACAGGGCCTGGAACTCTACAGCTCAGTCTGCCTGCACAAGCCAAGCTACAGGTGGGGTGCAGGATGCAAGCCCTTTCTCCCTCTCTTTCTCTCACACACACAGAGAGGCATGCACGAGTACTGGCAGAGGAGCGGAGGAGGGCTGTAGTCAATGCTACCAACTTCCTGCTTTCAAGAGTTAACACTTACAAAAAAGTACATAAAGCACCAGGGAGCTTTTTCTACCTTGTTGTAGAATACTACCTACAAGCTGGTATCTTGCTGGCATTTTTGTCAATGCCTCTGCACGAAGAACATAGAAAGTTTATAAGCAGGTATTTTAAGAGGTTTACTATAAACATGAGAAAAGCATCACCTATTGAGGGCTTCTTTTACACTGACTGCTATGGCTGTGCTAAGTCTGTCAGATACATTATCTAGCTAAGTCCTCCCGGAACCTTGTGAGGTGGATATTGTGGACCCTATCTTACAGACAAAAGGGCAGAGGCCCAGGGGGATAAGACCAAGGTCAAGTGTGCCCTTGACAGGTGCTGGGGCTGACTGTGAGACTCTGAAGCCCACACAGAGCCCTATACATTGGGCCCACCCCAATTTCAAAGCAGCTGTCCCCCCAAGCTCCAGGCACAGACTCAACAGAGCCTGAGGTCCAACAGCCAAGCTCTTCTTGCCTCTTCTCTGGAGGGAACAGCTCCCAAGGGAGTTATTCTTTTGGTTTCAAGCCACAGCAACATTCACTGACACCTACCTCAGCAGTTTGTGCTTCTGATGCATAGTAAGCAACAAGGGAGGAAGCGGAAAACTCAATCCAGAGCTTCCTACACTCTAGGGAGGTCTGTTTTCTTATCTCAAGATTCTTCCTGGTTGGCACTATTGACGGCTGGGCCAGTTCATTCTCTGTGGGGCCATTCTGGGCACTACAGGACGTTGCCCAGCATCCCTGGCCTCTACCCACTCCATGCCAGGAATGTCCCCTACTTCTGATGACCACAAATGCCTCTAGATAAGGCCATGATACTGCCTCTCAGGCTTCTAAAGAAGCTTCTTGCCAGATGAGCTGCTGGAAGTACCACAGAAGGTCCCGTGCCTGAGGCTGGGAGAGGTGGTGTTGCCCAGCCCTGGTCTTCCCAGAGCCCTAGCACATGGTTCCTGGAATGTTCCCTGCCACTGCTAACTTTTCCTGACCTGTCTCCAAGACTAAACCATCACACCTGGAGGGAAGCTGAGAGGTGACAGACTTTGCTGTTGTCTTTCAGGAAAGAAAATGGAATAATTTCCCACACAAGTGATTCTGTCCCCCAGGGAACAACTGACATCTATCTTTGTCACCACTGGGAAAGGGGAGGGCTCCTGGCATGGAGTGAGTGGGGCCAAGGACATTGCTCAGCACCTGCAATGCCCACAACAGCCCCTCAGAAAACCAAGAATGATCTAGTCCAAATGCTAAGATGGAAAAACCCTGAAAAAGTCTCTGGGGCAATGTGGAAAGTGGTGATCATGCTGTCTACTCTCTTCCCTGCTATGAAAATGTGAGTTCTCAGGACTAAGCATGATCAGCTGCTCCCTATCTCCTGCTAAGGGAGCACAAGGGAGCCTGACTTGAGAAGCCATAGCAGATGGGAACTCTGCAGCCTGGGGGCTGGGCAGGTATGTGCCGGGAGCTGGGGAAGGTGGGAAGCATGCAGAGCAGCAGCTGGCTGTGCTGTACTCACAGAGCTGCCCCCTCCTCCCCATCCACTACTTTCCTGTTGTGTAACTTGGGGGAGGCACAGCCCATCGCATACCTTAACTCTGTCCCTCAAGTTCTGCCCAAATACAAAGGCCTGCTGTGCAGCTTGTTCTTTTTTCTCACAGTTTTCTTCCTCATAAGTATTGCCAGACTCATTTTTCTGGGGTTCTTTCTCCTATTTAAAAAAACAGTAACAACACCACAAAACACAATAATCCAAAAAAGGTGACACACTCAGGAGATAAGTAAGACTCCAGGTGACGCCATTCCACCTTGTTTACTCCATTTCTCCTCTGGGGAGAGGTCCCTGCAAGAGTTAGCCTGAGACTTGTCCCGGGACCAGTCTTGCCAACAGCCTGTGATAGAGGTTCCCTGGATGGAACCCTGGGCGAAGGGCCCTGAGATCACCAATCACAAGCTGTTGGCTGCCTTCATAGGCACATGGATTTGTTTTAGACACATGGGAATCAACAGGAGAGTGACAGGTTTGGGTACCTGGAAGCCACATGGCAGAGACTGGTCTCTAGTCCTGAAGGCCTCTGTGAGGCCGAGCTCTCCAGGGCTTCCACAGATGCTACAAGGCTGCTTTATTGAGATGCTTTTAACAACATTTGTTTGGAGTCATATTTGTTTTTGACATAAAAAAGCCCCTGTTGGGTGTGGTAGTTCACACCTGTAATCCCAGCAATTTGGGAGGCCAAGGTGTAAGGATCACTTGAGCCCAGGAGCTTGAAACCAGACTGGACAACACAGTGAGACCCTGATTCTACAAAAAAAATTTAAAAATTAATTAGCTGGGTGTGGTAGCACAAACTTGCAGTTCTACCTCTTGAGAGTCTAAGGCAGGAGGATTGCTTGAGCCCAGGAATTGAAGACTGCAGTAAGCTATGACTGTACTACTGTGCTCCACCCTGAGCAACAAAGTGAGAGAACGTCTCTTTAAAAAAAGGGCGGTGCCTGTGGCCCAAGGAGTAGGGCGCTGGCCCCATATAACAGTTCAAACCTGGCCCCAGCCAAAAACTGCAACAACAAAAAAAAGGGGGCTGGGCACAGTGGTTCAAACCTGTAATCCTAGCACTCTGGGAGGCCAAGGTGGGTAGGGTATTTAAGCTCAGGAATTCAAAACCAGCCTGAGCAAAAGCAAGACCCTGTCTCTAAAACAAAAACAACCACCCCTTCCCCCAGAAAACAAACAAACAAAAAATACTGGCCACACTTTGTAGCGGGTGCCTAGAGTTCTAGCTACTCAGGAAGCTGAGGCAGGAGGATCACTTGAGCCCAGGAGTTTGAGGTTGCTGTGAGCTAGGTTGACACCACAGCACTCTATCCTGGGCAACAGAGTGAGACACCGTTTCAAAAAAAAACAAAAGGGAAAAAAGAGATGGGTAAAGAAAATACAATGCAGCTGTAACTAACAGAGAGGTAGGTCTTTGACATGAAATGGAGTCCATGGCTCGGCGCCTATAGCTCAACCGGC